CTCTGTGAGTTCAAGGCCAGCCTGGTCTACAGAGCGAGTTCCAGGACAGCCTCCAAAACTTCAGAGAAACTCTGTCTAGAAAAAGAAAGGAAGAAAAAGAAAAAAATCAGCGTGCATGCGTGAGCGCATGCATGCGTGAGTTTGTACATTGTACATGGAAGTCAGAGGACATCAGGACCCAGTTCTCTCCTTCTACCATGTGGGTTCCAGATCCAACTCTCAGGTCATCAGACTTGGCAGCAAACACCCTTACACATTACCTGACCCTACCTGTACCTCCCCCTTGAAGTTGGAAGGCTGACTATCTTATTCTCTATTATACATCCAGTACAAATAAAGTGGGTTGCTGTGTAAAACCCTTTGAATAAAATCGGCCCGCAACAAAAGATGTGTTGCCAGGGTCTGGGGGTGGGGAGTGAACAGAACACAAAGGTGTCTAGGACAGCAAAGCAGTTCTTTGTGACAGTACAACGACGGACAGTTGTTGTCTGTCATTCTTCCAAACACAAGGACCACACAATACAGAGTGAACCTGACTGTGCCAGGGCCCCGATAGTGATATCACTGGAACAATGCAGGCTGCTGGGAGATGTTGCCAGCACATGAGGCCACTTGTAGGCAGGGATGTGGACAGAAAGTGGAGCCACATGTGGGGAGGGGTGTGGAAAGTCTGCACTTTTTGCTTAACTTCTCTGGAGCACAAGAGAGCTACAAATCACTGACTGAAAAGGTAAAAATAATGTAAAAACCAACAACAAACCTAAGCGACCAGAGGCGGCAGAATACCACCAGATGGCACCGTTTCTCCCAGAAGTTTCAGTGAGGACTCCAAGTAGGGAAATTGCTGGTGCTAAGAGCACAGCTGGGAGTCAGGCTTCCTGGGCCTTGGTCTGTCATTCACAGGACTTTACCACATTGCCAGGGCCCAGTCCCTCTGTGCGCTTTCAATGGGTCTTTACTAAGTGTAGATTTTAGTATTACTCACATGAATGAAAGCCAACAGATCAGCAGACAAGCTGACTGAGAAGATGACTCACTACAGCCCTCCAGAGAAGGCACATACCAACTGGAGACAAGAGGAGGCAGGAGGATGAAGATGCAGCCAGAGCCTTTATTGTAGTTTCTATGACAACAACGGAGGCAGAGTATTCAGTTTAGGATTGGCATGTTTGAATAAGTCTAGGTATTAGGATAGGGCTGTTCCTTGTGTCTGGTCCCTGATCCTAGAGTGATGACAGCAGGTGGACATGCCTCCCCCAACATCTAGGAGTCTGGCAAAGGGGTGACTGGGGTTGGATTCTGAATTGGTTGATTTTCTATCTCCAAGAGTTGACTAACCTAGGAGGGGTGTCTCTCCAAGTTCAGCAAGGCAAAATATCATACCATGAGAACCCAAGGTCATGTATGAGGTTGAAGCCATAGATGAGCCAAGTCTTTTCTTGTGACCCTTCAGATCACTCAAGGGAGTTCGGATTTACTGCCACACACTTCTATAACCCAAGTCAGTGAGGATACCATAATAGCAGTAGACTTTGTTCACCAGTGCCCTGCAATACCGGAGCTTCAAATCACAACTCATGACAAGCCCATGGTCACATGAGGGCTGAGGGTGGAGGAAGGACCCTGTTGTCCCACTCACTTGTCTGCAGAAGTGCAGAGGACCAGGACAAGAGTCTACCTGCAAGAAACCGCCAACCAGAGTGCTGTCCCGGGGTGACCCCTGGGACAGAGAGTTTCCAGGCGGCTGTAAACATGAAGACTAGCTGGGCACACTGTATTACAGCCACACAATTTCAAGTGACAGATTGTTTGTGGCAGCGGCCAGCCCCAAACCAGGATAATCCCTCCTTCTAATCCAGTTTCATTAAATGGACACTAGGCTTAGGTCAGGGGAGAGGGGTCCTATATGGCACTGAGCTACTTAATCAAAGGACCACTTCAAAGTGTTTACATTTCTTTGAAAATGAAAGGACTATGATCTTAAGAAGCAGCATGCAGGGGACAGCTTCATAAAATGGAAAGGCTGTTAAATGACAACTGGCTGTTAGTCCTGATCTCTACTCTTATGAATTTAGTGCCAAGTGGTTTCAAGTCCCCAGATGTGTGCTGGATAGTGCACCAACCACATATAGGTAGCAGTGTACCTTCCTGATACCGCTATTGATATTATTATGATTTTAGTCAGTTGTGAGCATGGCACATTCATTATGTCCAAAAGGATTATTTGGGGAGTGAAATGCTAGGAAAATGATTGGAGGTGAAAGGAAGAATGCAAATTGAATGGACTTTATCTAGTCTGTCTCCAGTTTACCTTTTGAAGTTGGTTGCTGCAAGGGGTAAGGGTTAATGAATGTAGCACAATCCTCTTGGGTCAAGACTGTCTTCACTGCATCCTCCCTGGGTTAATCCCATGCCCCCCTTCTCCCTGCAGACCTCTATCAACTCCAGACACCTTTGCTTCCAGGTGTCTGAGTCTGTGGGTCTTACCTGCAGGGCCTCAGAGCAGTAGCCACCAGGAGAGAGACGTGTCCCCAGTTCTACACGGCCCAGCATGTTGGAGAGAGGAGCCAACTCTTGGTTTTATTCCTGTGAAACAAGGACGCAGAGGGAGAAGGAGAAGAGGAATCGATGGCTCTCAGAAATACTGATGAGGTACAAACAGCAGCTAGTGAAGGACTTCCACCTGGGCCGGGTGCTCCCCTACTTGGTGTATGATGGTGTGTTCTCCCTGAAAGAATACAGAGAGATCATCTCCCAGGACCGCTACTCAGAAAGAATCGAGTGCTTCCTCCTGACGCTCTTCTCCAAAGGTCCGGGAGCTTTCTGTGCCTTCTGCTCTCATCTGGAGGAGTTTAGCCCTTACCTACTCACCTCGCTTTTCCTCTATTACCAAGGTAAGAGCGCCATTTGCTCTAGAGTTAGTAAATGTAAGAATGGTGGTCTGATGCAGACATCTGTAAGGACCCGGTCCACACGGTGGAATAAGAGTCTCAGCCCAGCATTGATGTAGAGCTTACTAAAAATGTCCAGGTTTCTAAAAATAATTTTCATAATGTTGAAACCAATGCTAGGATAGACAAGAAAGTCATGCACAGCTCCTGACACAGCCTGAGGGGTGTCTGAATATCTAAAAGACTTCTGTCTTGTTTCAACGGTGATTTCAAGCGCAAGCCATAAAGTGCTAACGGGTTGAGAAAGCGGGGCTGAGATTTTGTTCACAAAAGACACAAATATTATGATGCTTCTTCAAAAATATCAGAGTTATCCCATGAATCAGCAGTTCCGCTCCTGGGCAGACACCCAGAATATACGAACATGTGTCCACACAAAGCCCTGTGTAACAATATCCAGAGGAGCATTGCTCGTGGCAGCCCCAAGGCAGAACTATCCCAAATGTTCATCCACTGATGAGTGAACGATTTGTGGTATGTCTATGCAAGTGAAGATTGTCCTGCCATTCAAAGGACTGGAGATTTGTGTGTGCTATAACACACATGAACTTCAAAAACATGGAAAAGAAATAAGCAACTCAAAATGCCGTGAAATTACATTCATAGGATTACATTCATATAATGTCCAGAGCAGGCCGGGGCTGTAGCTCTGTAGCAGAGCCCTTGCCTTGCACATATTAGGCCCCGGTTCAATCTCTAGCACTGAAGAAAAGCAGATTACTGGTCACAGAGCTGGAAGTAGGAGGTGCAGGAGTAGGGAATGAATGAGTATGAAAACAGGGCGTGTATGTGAGGGGGTGGGGGGGCGGTGGTGAAAATTTTCCAAAGTTATTCTGTTGGCCACACACCCCTGTAAGTACACTGAAAAACAAGGATAAATATTATGGTGTGTGAGTTATATTGCATGAAGCTGCTATATAAAAATCATGAAAATATTTGCTGTTTATCTTCTCAGTCTTCCAAAGAGAGCCCTGTAGGTGACTCTCCTGAATTCTCAACTTCTTCCTTCTACAAAGAGTGACTGTACACTGCTGAGACGTGTTTGGGGTGCCTAACACAAGGATAGAAATGGGAAGGGAGATGGACAAAGCCTGGTTTAGGAAAGCGACCATGACATACATCCTGGGGCAGCTGTAGGACAGTGAGGACAGAGGCAGATGGAGGGGACTGCTATTTATGAGGCTGTGGCTCCCATGGGTATACGACAGAGGCTTGAATACTCTGAAGTGGTGTTGGTTGCCAAGTTTCATTTCTTTATGACACTTTTCCACGACGGAACCGTAAGGGCCCTGCTTGCTAGTAGTGCCTTCTAAGATTTGTCTATGTAGGGAAAGGAGTGTCCTTAGCTTTCAAGATCGTCATTGTGCATTTCAGGTTGATGGTAGGTTGCCCATCCTACATCCTTGTAACTCTCAATAAAAATAGTCAAGACAGATCCGTAGACAAGTCTAAATCAATATTTATGAGAGACCTTTTTATTTTTTACTTTACATACCAATCCCAGTCCCCCCTCCCTCCCTCCCTTTCTCCCTCCCTCCTGCTTCTCCCACCTTCCCCACACCCCATGCCCCATCTGCTTCTCATGAGGAGTCAATGAAGTCTGTTCCATCACCATGTTCAGGCAAGACCCAGCCCCCCACCACTCCCCGGTGCCTAGACTGAGCAAGGTATCTATGAGTGACTTCTTACACTATGATATAATGTAATATAATTTTCTATGTCATAGACGTGTGTGGATCTGATCATTTATCTCTTGTTCTGTCTAACTGCATTGTGTCTAATGTGTATTAATGCACTATGATCACTTAAACCAATTTATATTGTCAAATACTTTATTGTTATTGAATATTTGTTACACTGTTGAAAACTGATAAATATTTTTACTGTGTAATTTAGCATAAGCTAGATATCTACTGCAGTGACTAACATTTTAGGTGAGGACCAAACACAGGGTTTGGTTCATTTGTTTATATCATTTTTTTGCTTACATCATTTTTTCTTATCCAAAGAAATAACTGTGACTGAGAAGGAAGAGAGACAGGAAAACAGTTCAGTTGAGATGTTTACTGGATCTTTAGTCGCACAAATTGCACACCTGATAGAACTACAAACGAATCATAATGAGCACCATAAAGACCAAGGGGATACGAATAACATCTGTAGTTCAGTGTTGTGCCAACATCCATTTCCTGGTTTTAATCAGTTAAGGTTATAAACAATGTTCTTATTAAGAAAAGTTGAGAAAAGCCTACATGGGAATTCTCCATGCTTTTTTTTGAAAGTTCTATGGGACTCTAAAAAGACTTAAAAATCAAAAAGTTGCAAAGGAAAGATAATAGCAATGACACAATCAAAATGGAAGTGGAGAGCGATTTTTGTTTTTATTTTGTGAAACAAAATAATAGCCCAAGCTATCCTCAAATTCATGATCCTCCTGGCTCAGCCTCCCCAGGGCTGGGATTAGAGGTTTGTGTAAGCATGCTCAGCATTGGAGAGCTGGTTTCTAACTTGAGTTTTAAAAACTAAAATTTTTAAAAAGTTCATGTTCCCTTGGCACTTGAATGTCAGAATTTGAGTTTTAGCCTGATTGTGTAAGGGACGTTCCCTAGTGCTAATTCTGGACTGTTAAACAAGTTATCTTCGAAGTCTCAAGTCCACCTCCCCCAGAGCTGGGTGACTCATCTTGCTCTAAGGGGCTCGCCCTTGCTGGCCTAGAATGGGGCTGCTTTACGATGAGCGGTTGTGAAATCCGCCTTCTTTCTTTCTCGGCCTGTGGGTAGCCTCAGTGCATATTAACACCAGAGAGACTTTGCAGTTCCCACAATACAAAAGGGGCTAGCTGCTGCCATTCACAGGCACACTGGTAAACACATTCTAGTGGGACTGAGTGAGCAGCTCTCAGGCAGAGCTCTCTGAGGGAGGTAGAATACTCTATCTAGTATGAATGAGGAGTGGGACTGGAAGCACAATTCAGGTGTAAGCATATGAGCAAACAGCCAGGAGGACAGCCCCCAATCCATCTTTCCTATAGCTCACCTCAAGGGTATCAGCCTCTCCTCCCAAGGGGTTTAGTACAGGTAATAGTACACAAGTCAAATGTCTGCAATGGGCAAGCCTGGGGTCAGGCTCATATGAGGGCTTCAACGACTTATCTGTTGCTGTGATAAAACACCATGTTGCAGTCAGCCTGTAGAAGAGATGGCTTATTTGACTTATGGCTCCAGAGGTTGAGAGTCCATCACGGCAGGAAGCGTCCCAGCACACTGCAGGCATGCAGCAGGAACTGTAAGCATGAGGCAGAGAAAAGAAACTGCATGTGGAGTGAGGATTTGCACTCTCCAAACCCAGCCCTCATGGCCCGCCTCCTGCAGCGTGCTGTGCCTTCTGACCCTTCCTCAACAGCTGGGAACCAAGTATTCAAATACCTGAGACTAAGGGGGGCGTTTCTCATTCAAACCATCTCGCAGGCTAGAGGCTGTCTCCTAGGAGCTGAAGGAAGACAACACAGAGGATGGTGTGAGTGGGCTGGGGGCAGGTCAGGTAGAGGGTGGGCGAACAGGTTGGTGAAACTATGTCAAATGTCCAAGGGGGTTGACAAAACATTGTAACTGTTGTGCCATCATCTCTTAACTGGGTTCCATTGCTAGGCAACTATGAGGGAAGTTGCTGCTCCAAGTTAAGGTAGAAAACATGGTCATTTTCTGGAGAGGTAGAAAATTAGTTCCAGCTGGGTGTGGTGGTGCACACCTTTGATCCAAGCCTGTTGTGGGGACGGGCTCAGTGGCACCGACAGTGGATCTCTATAAATTCAAGGCCAGCCTGGGCTACATAGAGAGCTCTAGGCTGCATTGTGAAATTCTGTCTCCAAAAAAAGGGGGGTGGGGAATGAATACTACTGATGAGTTCCATGAGTCAGGGGAACTCCCCACGACTCTGGCTCCCAGGCCAGGCCAAGATGGGAAAGGTCAGGAACAGGAAGTCATGCTTGGAAGGGACTCTGATGCCTGTATTTCCTTCTTCCCTTGTTCCCATTTTTAAATATTGCAAAGAAAATTGTTGTTTTTGTTTTTGTTTTGAGACAGGATTTCTCTGTGTATCTCTGGCTGCCTTGGAACCGGCTCTGTAGTCCATGTTGGCCTTGAACTCGCAGAGATCTGCCTGCCTCTGCTTCCAGAGTGCTGGGATTAAAGGTGTGTGTCACTGCTGTCCTGCTTGGAAAATTGGTATTTTTTTAAATATACATTTTAGTTACTGTGTGCATACAGAACGGAAGGCAGTTTAAAGTTACAGCGTCAGATCTATCCTTCCACCCTCAGAATCCCAGGGATCAAACTCAGGTTTGATAGCAGGTGCCCTTAGCCACTGAGCCTATCACTAGGTATTTTAAAACCTCTATAGCTATAAAAATGCCAGTATTTTTTTTTGGAGAGAGGGAGTGAAGGAGGGAGGAGAAGAGAGAGAGAGAGAGAGAGAGAGAGAGAGAGAGAGAGAGAGAGAGAGAGAGAGAGAGAGAGATTATTTCCAGTCAAGGCAGGAAAGTTTTGATTTTGAACAGCTAATGGTTGTTTTAGCTAGGGCCTCATGTAGCCCAGGTTGGCCTCAAACTCCTGATCCTTCTTCTGTCTCTATCACTCATATGCCATGATTACAGCATGTGCCCTGACACCTGGATCATTTTTAAATGAACTAACAGAAATGTGACTTCAGAAAAATGTGAACTGAGTCCTGCTTGTCCTATTACGTACAGTCTGTGATGGCTAAATCTACAGTAATATGTTGTCACTACCTTAGAGAAGAAAAGAGGAGTGGCAGCAGCAATCAGCCTTACACCAGTGTCAGAAATGAGACAATCATCTTGTTGTAATGCAGAACAAACCCAAAGGATCCTACAAGATGTGCTTGTGGCAGAAGAGTCAGCGAGGCTTGGAGCTCAACGGGACCCCAGCGATGACACTGAAGACCGAGAACAAAGGGCTCAGTTATTTCCCAAGTATGTTAACATTCGCAGTATGTCTGCAACCTTTAAAAGGTCCTGCCTTTCCACTTTCCATCATCCTTCCTCCCCCACCACCTCCTCCCCCTCTTCCTCCTCCTCTCAGGATCCTCATTCCACCGTGCCCTTCAGCTCCTTGTGAAGAGTTCTACAGAGAGTCTGGTTTTGTAGGATGTGCCAAGGCCAGCGTTATGACTTCTTGGTTGTCGTGTGATAGGACAGGAGAATGTACTTGCGGGTTGCTATCCGTTGCAGGCAGGTGACTCGGTTAGCTCATTCCCAGCATCCCAAATGACTACACGTTAAAAGGCTAACTCTGAAATCAGAATGGGATTTATAAATGAACAGCAGTCCTCTCAAAATCATGGTGATGCTTCTTTCAAAGAAAAAACCCGGACTCCCTTAATTGCTTTTAGAACATTCTGGAATTGATCAACATGTATAGACTTCATCTGTCTTTTGGGTTCATAAATTGCCTGTGTTATGAACGAGACTAAGACCTGACCCATGGTTAGACTTCATGTTCATTTCTTGCAGGAACAAGCTTCCTGTGAGGAGGAATTTTCATAAAGTGAGAATTCAAACCAGTCATTAAAATGGCCCTCTGTTCCTTGATCCTCCATAAGCATGAAATGAGATGCTGATGGCGAATTAGCCATCAGTTTTCTTTAATTTGCTTACATCTTCTAAGTATCTAAGATGTGATCAGTAAATCATCTAGAAGATGAGTGTTGACTGTGCTTAAATTATCAGGATCATTGTAAATTTGCCCTGCTGCCTGTTCCATCTGCATCATATCCTGGTTTCTGCCCTGGGAGGAGACCATACATCATGCAGCCAAACTGATAGAAGTCTTTAAACCCAACCTTGGGTGCCCTGCAGGGCCAGGAAACTTGCTTAGGCTAGGACTGTCCTGCTGGTTCAGGGGTGATCCCCTCCATGCAGAGCAACGTGTCCTGCTGTGTCTGTCCAAGAGATGAGGTCTGGCCCCATTGCTCCCTTCCCTGCCTGTCCAAGGTCCTGGACTCCCAGTGCCTCTAGTATTTGGGGGGGGGCTTCTATTTCTTTTCTATCATTTTTATTTTGGTAAACAGAAAGGAGCAACAGTATTTATAAGCAGATATAACACAGAGACACCAACAGGTATATTTTAAGGAATTGGCTCATATGATTTTGGCAGCTGGAAAGTCCCCAAGCTGCTGGCCCCTGGGAATTTAGGCAAGAGTTTGGTGTTGTCACCAGGACTGAGTCCCCAGAATCTGGAGGGGTTTCTGTGAGGTATCTCTGAAGAAACCTCAGCCTCTGCTCTTGTGCTTACATCTCCGTTTAGATGAGGTCCACCCACAGGACAGAGGACAATATTCATCATCCACATTTATTGATTGAAATATGGACCACATATAAAAATTTGCCATAGGACTGTCTGGGTTGCTGTTTGAGTAATCAGCTGGGCACTACAACCCGGCAAACATGACCTAAAATTAAGCCTTGGGCAACCTGCTTAATCTCTGTGTGTCACAGCAGTAGAACTTGGTAGATTCTGATTTCTTGTCTTAGGAGGAAGGATCCTGTTCCTGGTTTCTTATCATAGCTTCCCTATTCCTGAGTTCTAGATCCTTCCTTCTTTTTTGGACCCCTCCTCAGGATAAAGTAAGGACAGAGTGATGCTGTGTCAACTTGGTGGGGCCACAGTGTATTTGATCAAGCATTATTCTGTATGCTTCTGTCTAGTGTATGAACATCTGAGCTGGATGAACATTTACACTGCTAGATTCTATATAAAGTATAAGATATAAAATGTGGGTAGATCTTCCCAGATAAGCTGAAGGCTGGAAAGAACAGAACAAACACTGGCTTTCTTCTAAAAACAAGAAATTCTGTGCTGTCAAACTGATTTTGATCTCCTCCCTTCCTCCCCCCCACCTCCTGGTTCTGTTTCTATAGATAACTGGAAATAAAATAGTGCTCAATCATATCTATTTTGGACCCCAAGTAAATAAAAGCCGGTCTCCAAGGCAGCCCTTGAAGTTGGCTTCCTTTCTGATTCATGGGGAAGGACTGTACCTTTTCCCCTTTCCCTTTCATTCCTAAATTCCACACCTGCCACCAGCTTTTCTCCCAGCATCCAGGTTACTATAGGCACCTGTGGGCTATGAAGTGCACTGGAGGACCTAGGAGTATTCGCCTGGGCTCACTGTCCTGGCCCCAGTCCCAGAGCTATTTCTCTTTCTGAATTCAGTGGTCCTAAACTTCAACCTCTTTTGGGTTATCACACTAATAATGAGAGTATATTGCAAAGCTTCTAGAGTGTCATCCCTTTAAAACAGCTCATGAGAAGAACAGTAATTCAGATAAGTCTCTCTCTCTCTCTCTCTCTCTCTCTCTCTCTCTCTCTCTCTCTCACACACACACACACACACACACACACACCATCCTGTTCAGATTATGAACTAATAGGCAGATTCTACATACCTGATTTTATAAGAGAGTTGAGACTTATTTTCCTAAGTGGGTTTTAACCACATTAACATCAAACTCAACTTTAATTCCCTTGGCCTGTTAGAGGACATTTCAAGTGCCCACACATTGCTGTCATTGTGCAAGCCACCCTCCATGTCCTCTGCAGGAAACCACTTACTCTACCTACATCCCTGAGCTCAGCATCGGAGGGCAGAGGGACAGAAGCTGACCCCCACTGCAGAACACTTTGTAAAAGGCAGGCCAGAAGGAGTCCTTCAAAGCGGACCTCATCCCTGTTCAGCTAACTGAAATGTGACTTTCCTCCTATCTCGGAAGGACTAGAAAGAATGGAGTTAACTGGGACACGGCAGATACCTGCTTTTCCTCCTTTTTCAGCTCATTCAGTCCCCCAAACAATGGCAGCCTTAGTTGCTTGCAGAGGCATACATGAGAGAAAAATAAAACAGAGGTCAGAGCATGCCACAGCTCACTTGAAGTGTCTGTAGGGATAACCTCAATTTTTAGAAGCAGACAATAAGTTGAAGAGCCTGTCCCTGCCCACACACATCTGTATGAATTCACCAAGGCAACTGTATCTAGGACCCAGGATCTACCAATGAGAATCCAGAGACAGACCTCATCTAGTCAAGGCTGCAACACTCAGACCAAGCCACACCCTGTAAACCCTTAATGCACCGGGGAAAAAAAGCATTGAGACATGTGCGGGCCACATTTTATACCTAAAATTGTAACTCAAGAATTATGTCCCTCCAGTGACTTGATAATTAAATGAGAGTCTAGATCAGTGGTTCTCAACCTGTGGGTCATGACCCCCTTGAGCATAGAAGGATTCTTTCATAGGTGTCACCTAAGACCATTGGAAAACACAGATATTTACATTATGATTCTTAACAGTAGCAAAATTACAATTATGAAGTAGCAACAAAAATAATTTTATGATTGTGGGTCACCACAACATGAATAACTGTAGTCAAGGGTTGCAGCATTAGGAAGGTTGAGAAATACTGGAGTAGATACTTCCATGGGCTACTGAGACAGTTCTCATCACCCGTACAAGCCTACAAAATCAGCAAGGACTTTCCAACATGTTATTCTTACCTCCCTTGTATGCAGTTATCAGATGCCCCAGGTTTAGGAACAGGCTCAAAGATGGAATAACTTCCTCTAGGTTCTGCAGTCATTGTTCTTTTTGTAGACCGTGATCTACCTTGTGTATCTCTGTACAGGGCACTGTGTCTAAGACACATACAGATAAATGTGGCCAGTCCAGATCTTAAGCCAAAGGATGAATAGATAGATCTATTTTCCACTCCTGTCTACCAGAAACTCTGCTGTGGGTAGAAAAGAGCCAAACCACAGCCAACTGGGTCCAGCAAACCGAAGCACAGTTACCATGGCAACAACATATGTTCAACATACGCCTGAGATCCAGGCTCCTTGGCTGATTAATTCCCTGGGAGAAATATTTCAAAACTCACCCTATTGCAGCCTATCTGGGAGCTTGTTGAGAGTGTGTATTCTGGAGTGTTTCCAGGCTGGGGAGAGTAGGACAAGGCTGTGTTGTGTTATCATTCCCCAGAGCTTGGCTTGATGGACCCAAGGAAGTTCTGGTAAAAGAGATGGCGATTCTGACTTATAAATCCTTGAGTCTGATCCCAGGACCTAAGGAACAGCTGTGGGGAAATGTTTGATGAATGGGGAGGGTGAATGTTTGGGGGAGGGGTCTTGGAAAGAAGGCACGCATTGGTGAAAACAGATGAAGTTCATTTAGAGCGGGAAACAAACATGGTGATGGAGTTGGGTGTACAGAGGATAGGATATTAGATGAATGTGCTTTTGGTTTAAGAATGATTAGGGTTATGTGAGTTCTTTCTCTTGAAGAAGCTGGTGTGTGGTCTTGGGCTGGCTCGGAAGAAGGGGTGGTTCAAGGCCTAGTGTATGCAGATAGGAAGGGGGACTTAGAGGGGACTCATTCTCCTCTCCAGTGTCATTTTCTTCCCTTATTTTTTTGAGGATAAGTTTAACTAGGCAAGAACTTTGTGGTTTTCAAGATACTTTATTTGCATTTTTCTTAGAAGTTGGGCCAACAAACATTGGGCAGTGGTGGCCCACCCCTTTAATCCCAGCACACAGGAGGAAGAAGCAGGCAAATCTCTGAATTCCAGGCCAGCCTGATCTACAAGAGTGAGTTTCAGGACAGCCAGGGCTACACAGAAAAACTCTGTATTAAAAAAAACAAAAAAGGAAAAAAAAATACTGGGCCAACAAGGTGACTGCATTCAATTCAAAGAAACCAATAGTAGGAAAGAAAGCCCCTTCAAATTTGTTCTCATGCACCAGCACACACACACACACACACACACACACGCACACGCACACGCGCACGCACGCACGCACGTACGTACGCACGCATGCACGCACGCACATGCACACTTACAGACAAGGAAAAAGGATCTGTCTTGTATTTCTATAACCCCAGGGCCTAGGGTGGTGTTTCCTGGTTGCTAGGAAGGAAGTGAGCAGACATGGAAGACAACACCTCTTTAAGTCTGAGCCAGCCTGGTTTCCATTTCTATCCAGACTTCATCTTGCTTTGTTTCTTTCATGGGTTTACTCTCACAGACATGTATCCTGTGTGTGCTCTGTGTTTTCTCTCAGTGGAAATATGCCTCCCAAGGAGAGCTGGTTTTATCCACTGGCACACCCCTATTATGTGAAAAACATAGGAGACAGGCTAAATGTTTGTTTAAAACACTGAACAAGATAGGTTGGAGTGATGGCTCAGTGGTTAAGAGCATTGGCTGCCCTTCCAAAGATCTTGAATTCAATTCCCAACAACCACATGGTGGCTCACAACCATCTATAATGGGATCTGAGGCCCTCTTCTGGCATTCAGGTATAGATGCAGACAGAGGACTCATATCTAAAAAAATAAATACATAAATAAAAATCTAAAAGGAAACTAAAAAGATCTGGGGCAGAGGTTTAATAAAATATACCAAAATACCGAATTCTTCACTAACAGAGACTGGGACTCAACTAAAACCAATGTAAGCCTGTTTTACAATGTTTACATGTTTTATAATGTTCATGGGATTTAATCTGTTTGCTTACCTCAGACTGTGTGACTTTCAGGCTAGCCACCAAGGTTGAACCCCTGAAGTCTCTGGCCCCACAGAAATTATCAACCACTTACATCGACCTCATCTTTGGTTCATAAAGCACTAACAGATAGAATAGAGAATGCTTTAAAATACTAAAACATATATTGTATTAAAAAATTTTAAGTGAAATAAGAAATCTTGCTATCATTGGGGAAACTGGACTGTTGCCAGGACTTTAGAAGACATTAATTAATCCGATAACATACTTATCAAAACAGGTGTCAAGCTGTGTTGAGATGTGGTCTGGCTTTGATTTACATGGGTTTTCAGGGACTGAATCCAGTACATGCTAATGGAGGGAGCTCTTTGAATACACTCACCTGCTGACTCCACCGTTCCCTGCAAACCAGTCTCCTTTTGACTTATTTAAAGTGACAAGACTCGCATATGGACATCATATAACAAGATGGTTTTAGAGATATGTGTTCTTTGGAATTGATAAGCCAAGCTAATCAGTATATGCATTACCCCCAGAAACTTCTCACTCAAATGAGTTTGGGCATCAGGACTTTGTTAGACTTGAGGATGAGAAGAGACCATCCCATCTGTCCATGCACCCTGACAATTTGCATGTCAGGATCATCAGGACCTTGCACATGACCCTGCATCACTCTGTGCACAGCCTGAACCTGGGTACTGTTTTAGGGTGGGGTCTCTGATACCTTTTCAGTAACTTCAACATAGGAATTTCAGAATTCAGTCTTAATGCTCTGGAAGAGATAATAAGAGAAAATTGATAGTTCTTACAAATACTCACTTTTCCCAGGTTTTCACATTTGTTTTGTGGGGTCAGCTACAATTTAAGAGTTTCCTCTTTCTTTATAGTTACAGTTTGGGGGGGGTTGTTTGTTTGTTTTTGTTTCTGCCCTAGTTGGATGTCCAATGGTTTGCCAGTTTTCTTAGTTTTCGAAGAACTTGATTTGAGGATTATCAAATTATATTCTTTTCCTTTGTTTTTTTAATCTGTTGTTCCTTTTTAAAAGACAGGATCATATGTAGTGCAGGCTGGCTTCTACCTTGCTAAGTAGCTGAGGATAACTTTGATTCTCCTGCCTCTGTCTCCCAAGTGCTGAGGTTCTTCTGGTCATGCACCACCATGCCTGGCTGCTCTCTCTGTTTGGAGTTGCCTGCTGGCTTTTGGGATCCATGTCTTCTCTTTGTCTTCTCACTTTAGGACACACTCTTCTGTGTACTGGACTGTGGGCAATGCCGCCTGTGACTTCCTGTGTCACTCAAGAGTGAAGGATTCTCTACTTTGTTTTGCTTTAATTTCAAAGTACATATTGCTTTAGCTTGCTTGCTTTTTCATTTTTTTCAGTTAGGTTGAGGATTCTGTGTTATTTCTCATTTCTGTTACTATGGCATTGTGATTAGAAAAATAGTCTTAATGTTTTCTACATTGGAAAAAAATGAAGGCTTTCTGGTTTGATACTGTGTCAGTTCCTATAGATATTTCATGTGTACTTAGAAATAATGTATGTTCTATACTTCATATCACATTTAAAAATACTGTTACTATTGAGTCAACTTTTGATCTCAATATATAAAAACATCTTTTGCTTATTTTTATCTATTTAGTCCTTTTCTGAGAGTTGTTAAAGTCTTTAATTTTGCCTATTGACTTGAACAATTGAATCAATATTTTATATATTTCATTAGCATATTGTAGGAGTGAACCCCACAAAGCTAAGCGCCCATGAGGGCGGGGACATGTAAACTGACACAGGTAGATATAAAAGGAAGTGAAAGGAAAAGGAACCTCCCTTTTTTCCTGGAAGCCAGCCACGCTTCTAACTCCTGGTTTGTGCATCTCTCTCTCTCTCTCTGGTAAATAAATATATTGTTTTCCTTATAGCATCGAATATCATTGATAGCATGTATTGTCTCCTTGTTTTTCTTTATAAATATAAAATCTAATACTTTGGTTTTGAATTAGTTTTCTGATTCCATTGTTTTTGGTTTTCGTCTATAATTTATTTTTTTATAAATACATGACTCTTTGTTGTCATTTTCTACCTTTCTTCAACATTTTATTTTATGCATACCTTTATAAATAACTGTGGTTGTAATTTATTTTTCATGGGTGCAACAGTCTGTTAGTCATACTGAGAGGAAAAATAACTAAATTGTTCTGCATCCTATACCTCAACCGTTCTCCTGAGCAGTTTATCCATTATCTCACATGATTCTCCAACCTGTCCTAGGAGGGAATCCCTCTGCTTGTTCCCAGTCAAAGCTAAAGATACAGAGACTTTGAGTATTTTATGTGCCCTACCCAAGACTAGAAACCAGGTGGTATCTGAACCCAAGCACTGCGGAAGCCATGAATCACAGTCATTATAACTGCAGAGGGTTGTCCTTGCATCTTACGATGTACTGCTTTCTGGAAGGACTTCATTATGCATTCTTGCAGGTCTCTGATTAGTCAGGCCAATTCTCTATGAAAGACACCCACTTGCCTTTTCATTTAAGAAACCGTGCTTAATCGAGCACTGATTGCTTGTCTGCATTTCAGTGGATTGGGTGACTGGCAGAGCGAGGCTCTGTTGTCGCTTGACTTCTTCCTGTGTACCATCTTTGTCCCCTCAAGGCACTGGCTCTTACCCCAAGCCCTGGAGCCCATTCTGAGCACCCTTTCTTCTTCATTCTGGGTTAGTGCTGGCAGATTTAATCTGAACACAAATTCTAGACCTGCCACCATCCTGCTTTACTTCTTTAAAAAGTTTTATCTATTCTGATCTCTTTTAAAACCCCACTTCCAAGACCTCCAAGGTGGCTTTGGACTTCTCCAGCCCCCTTTATACTCCTTTGGTCATTGCAACAGGTCTTAGGGGGATGAGGATTAGCTCATGAATTTGGTCAATCAGCAGCTGGAAGGCTTGCCATTCTCTTAATGCTCACCAGTTGTGACATCTGCCCTTAAACTACATCAGCCTATTGTTTATTCAGCAACGAGAAGCCCAAAATCCACGCCCTTGTCAAATGGAGCACAGAGCACTTTTACATGGTAAAAGCAGAATCTCTAAAACTGCCGAGGGGGTAGACTCTGCAGACACCCTCATGCAGATGCTAGGCTCTTCAGACCCCTCATGCAGATGCTAGACTCTGTAGACACCCTCATACAGAGACTAGACTAGACTCTGCAGACACCCCTCATACAG